ACAATGCATAACCTTTCAGCTTTATTCTGCTAACAGCAGGTAGCATGCCTTTCAGAGACAAGAGCTGCCTTGAAGTCGCCAGTGAGCAGGACCTGACCTTCATTTCCAGTCTACACAGCATTAAATATTCATAATCCACGTAACTGTAGCTTAAGTAGCAGCAGCGTTTAAACATGAATCAAAGGCATAAATATCTTCCCACGTGTGAGTCATCCTTTCCCAGAGTGCCACTGGAAAAATGCAAATGCACAGAGCTCTGTGCCGTCTCTCCCCGACTTTCGCTTAAAATTCTGGAAGCAGCGGAAACTGCCTTATGCAATCCGTGAATCGTGCCCCTCATGCTGATGTTATGACGTCACTTTAAAATTTTCCCTCCTATCTTTTCCAGAAGAATTTCTGTCTGGTGCCAAGGGAGAGGGTAACTGATGTCAAGCAATGGTAACAAGAACCACAGGGCATGGATGGGGTTCTTTTGACTTGGTTGCATGATTTTTAAAAAATATTTATTTCTATTTATTTATTCATTGTGTATTTACTGAAAACAGCAAACAGTATGGTCAGTTTCTACTACAACTATTTACATTGTTTGTTTGTTTGTTTCGAAACAGGTTCTCATGTAGTCCCAGCTGGCCTAGAACTTGCTATGTACACCAGGCTGGCCTTGATCTGTTGAACTCACAGAGGTCTGCCTGCCTCTGCCTCCCAAGTACTAGGATTAAAGGTGTGCAACCACCATGCCTGGCCCTTTTATTACAACTTTGAATAAAATTTATCTGTAACCACTTTTACCACCTGGAAAGTGTTAGAGATTTTCATATTGAAGATGTTTCAAATGAATGAAATACAAAGCAAACAAGAAATGGATACTAAAGTAAAATTCACGATGTGTGTGTGTGTGTGTGAGTACAGGCGCGTGTGCGCTATGCGAAGGTCCAAAGACAACTTCACAGTCAGTTCCTGCCTTTCGCTGGGTTAAGGCAGAGTCTCTCTAGTTTCCTCTCTGCTGCACATTCTAGGCCAGCTGGCCCATGAGCTTCTTGGTGATTTTCCCACCCTACCTCCCATCTTGCTGTAGGAGTGCTGGGATTACGGAGTACAGATGTGTAGCACAGTCTCTGCCTTTTTACATGGGTTCTAGGACTTGAACTCAGGTTGTCAGGCTTGCATGGCCAGTGCCTTTACCTGCCGAGACAGCCCTGGCCCTTGGTTCTACAATTAAAACAATAATCTTTGCTTCACCAGAAGCAGAGATTCCAGGGAGGTGTCAGAATTAGGAGGTAGAGTGATGTATCACAGAAATTGGACAGGAAACCTCTTTAAAAGAATGGAAAGGAAAGAAAACTCCTTTGGAGAACATGGCCCTTCCGTGTCTATTTGAAAGGATGGAATTGCTGTGCTGGATAACGTGTCGTGGTCTCTCATTTGTGAAGGCTCATGCCCATCCAAAGCCTCGCTACCACATCCCCGTTTGACTCTTTCCAGAGTCTCCCATTGGGATGATGAAGCATCACTTTAACACAGTTTAATGTAATTCTCTTTGGCGGTCAGCTCCAGGGGCTCTGAGGACAATCTTTCTTAGCTAGATAGTAATCACTGCAGGCTACCCAAGCGATTCTTCTCAGAGAGATCACTCAAGGAAAATTAAGACCCAAAAAGGGCCTCTCACACACTCCAAAGACCTACTCAGGGATCTATATGTCTTGGCCTAAGAGCTCAAAAGGAAAGATGTGTGGAAGTAACTGAAATGATATGCACTTTGAAAGGTGAGAAAGATCATAAAACCACCAATTACAACGTTTACCTGAACTTCCTTGCCCATCTGCTGCCATGTGGGTGTAGAAGACATACCTAGTCTGTTCGTGCATGTGCAGTCTGCATCAGCCCCTCTGAGAACATTTGGCCAAGTCGACGCCTGGAGCCTGTTTTATATGTTCACTGCATGCTTCTCACTTCTCTCCCTTTGCACATTTTTAAAAATTTGCGTGTGGCATATGTGTGTTTGGTGTACATGCAAGTGGAGGCCGGAGGAGCACGTCATGGGCCTTGTTCTCCACTCTCTGCCTTCTTCCCATGAGACAGCGTCTTCCACTGATCCCAAAGCTAAGCTGGCAGCCAACAAGCCCTAGAGATCCTCTTGTTTCCTTCCCCTAAGGCACTGGGGTTACAGGCCCAGAATATCATGCTCAGCTCTTCATCTGGGTTTGGGGGATCTTACCTCAGGACCTCAGGCTTGTACACCAAATGCTCTTACAAAGCCATCTCCCCAAGCTATCGCTGCACTTCCCAAGCCTTGAGCCTCGAGTTTCTATAACTGGGGGATTCCCTATCGACAATGTGGGTGAGGCCAGCTCTGGTTAAAATGCACCACGTGAATTGATTTTGTAAACCATGTCAGCAACAGTGAGGGTCACTCCTATTTATTAATTTGAACTGGGTTAATAAAAACTCAAATTCATCTCAAGAATACTAGATACTTTTCCCAGAACTATGATTGAGTATAATTTTCCAGAAGCATTCAAAGCTGCTTTTCTAGCCACCCGGATGGCCAGTCAAACCATATTTATTAAATTAGTAATGATTGTGAAAGAAAAAGATAGATTAAGACTTTACCTTTGACTTTCTCATCCTCAGTCCATATGCAGTTTATATGAAGACCAAGTTCCATTTGACTTCATTCGCTAAGCTTCATTTTAATTTGTTCAATGGATTTCATTTGGTGTCCTGACTAGGAATCTCTGGACTTATCATAAAGGTCACTGTATAGCTCCTACTATAATTCTTCTCCTTAAGCTCAGGGTGCTTGCTGGCTCTCCCTGGGAAGATGGAAAACTCCCCATGTGGACTGATGATTGGCCTATTCACAAGTCAGAATCTTGGGTTGGGTCTCAGGGCCAAATGAAGAAGAAGTGAAAAACAGAGACAGATATGTAGCCACAGGTTTTCTGATAAACAAAGTCTGTTGTGATAAGCCATACAGCTTAGTTAGTTTAAGAAGAGAGACAGGCTGAAGCCTGATAAGGCTCAGACAGTCCTCCATGGAGGAGGAGGACAGTCTCATCTCTAAGATTACTGGCATTTTTTGCTGAGGAAAGTGAAAAATAGAACTTAAGGTCAGCCACGGTACAGACTCATTGCAAGTCTCTAAAAGAAACCAGAATGAAAGACACTTCTAACACCAGCTTCTGTAAGACGTAGAGTCAGAATTAAAACCAAAGGACATGGAGGAAGGAGAGGCATCAGTAAGAGTGTTATGCTACAGGAACTTGCATGCTTTCCCATCTTCTCCTATGAAGACAGAAGACTGCAATCTATGGAGCCAATGGTTGCCTCTGAGTAGACACTATTCAAAAAAGGACGCCACCCAAATCCGTTAGCAGTATTTTATTTCCAAGACATACAAATAGGCAAAAAGGGAGGTAAAGGGAAGGAAGGCTCAGTGGAGGCATCTGTCCCTCTCTCGGATCGCCACACTCACCTTCACATAAGGGTGTGCTCTCTCTCTAGGGCACACAGACTACATATCTGAACCTCTTTCCAGAGCCCCAGCATGGGCGTTGGCAGGGTATGCACCCCATAACATGTGAAAACACCCCTGGAGAGAGATTGGAGACATATGATGAATGGCTTGAGATTCCCAATTCAATTCAAATGTGGTTCAGACTCTGGGTAAATATGAAAACAGAACTTACCTTCCCTCAAGACAAGTAGAGCCTTCCAGACAGAATGTTCTTCTCTTTCTTGAAAAGGAATTGCAGAGGAAGGCAACATACACAATCTCTTCTCCTGAGGATGCTTAAAGGACCCCCCACCAAGACAGGTGAGGGGCCAGCCTTGCATGTGGGGTGGACTGAAGAACTTCGGAAGTCTTCTTTGGCCAACTCCAGAGACTGACGAGCAGATACCGTTTCTTTGGCTTCCTTGACATGACAGTTTGGACTCCATTCAAATGTACAAAATCCTCTGGCTGGTGACCAGATAGCTCTGAGAATCTAGGTGTGTGTGAAGTTACTACCATCCTGAGCCACAGAAAGAGAGCTTTATGCTCAGAATTGAGACTCACCAGAGTCTGGGCCAACACGGACACGAGGCAGGTGTTCCAGGATCAAAGTCTCATAACCACCAGAGACAGAGGACTTCAAAACTCTCACAGCAGACAAGACAGACACTTGTCCTTGGCCAGAGCTGTCAAGTTCGCATCACAACAGAAAAGCAAGCCTGAGTCCAGCTCTCAGATGCTGTCAACTTCAAGACTGCACGTAGGAGGATAGTTGGAATAACTGCTGCACCCAGGGGTAGTGCCTGAAGCGACCAGGCTAGCCCCAGGGGCTGTCTTCTTCAGCTTCCTGGAAGGTCCTCACCATCTATGACCCATGCTCACCCTGGAGTACCAGACCACTTACCTGGCACCCAGTGGGTCTGCATGAGCACTATTCTCTAGGAGTTCTCAGATGGCCATGGGCCTCCACCTCTGTGAGTCCTCATGGACATGCCATTCCCTTCCCTTCCCTCCACAAGCAAAGAACCACAGGTCTCCAATGCCACACCTACATATTTGGCTGGAAGGTGAACTCTTAGCATGGTGCTTTCTAATCCATCCTCCAGCAAAATCTAAGCACTGGAACCCGGGATGAGAAAAGGATCCAAGATGGGCAATTCTCATCTGCTGGACCCTGTCGCCCCCTCCCAGAGGTTCAACCTTCCCATCAAAATCTCTTAACATCCCAGGCATTTTTAGTGAAAATACATCATCAGGAAACAGCTAGTGACATATAAATACCCAGCAGGAAGGCTTGTCCCCAAAAGGCCTCTCCCTCCCTTGCCAGCAAAATCAATGCAGCCTTCCTTCTGAGAGATGGTTTTTTTTTTTCTCTTTCAGAAACATAGCACAGAATAGCCCTGCCCTTCCTCCAAGTCTTCCATACTCGGGAAATTCTTGCAAAGGTTGGGGGATCATGATCAGTTTAGAGAAAATGGCCAACACAACATATTTGAATACTCACTTTGACGAGTCTATGAAGTATATTACAAGTGCACCAATGCTGAGAGCAAAGACTAAGACAACCTGCAAAAGAAGAGAAAGACTGTATTACTAAGAGCTGAGCATCAGGATGCGCACATTTCTGACTGACAGCAGCAGCTCTGAAGCTCCGTGCCTCTGCCTTCAGGGACCGGCTTCCAGGTCTCATGCCCTTGCTGCCCTAGGACTAACTTGGACCCAGCAGGGGGAGCAACCTCACAACTTGCAAATAGGGGTCAGGGCAGACTTCTCCTTCCAGTGTCCTTGGGTTTTTATCTGGTCCCGTTATCTCAAGTTCTAGCTTCTCTGCAACTAAAATCTTCAGGGGCAAAGAGCAGGTTAAAAACAACAAACTCAGAAGGATGCAATGTCTCATCCTGTACAAACCCTGGGACTTAAAGGGATTCAAATACAGGAATACTAACTTTCACCAGCTCTGTTGAGGTGCAATTAATTTGCCATAAAAATTCATCCATTTTAAGCATATAATTTCTTAATGACTTTTGGGAAATTTATTATGTTATGAGATCGTCACCGTGATCCACTTTCAGAACACTTTTATCATCTCAATAAGATCTCTCATTCATGGTAAATTAATCCCTGTTCTTATCCTTTAGCCCCAGTCAGCCAGTAATCTACTTTCTGTCTCTATATGAGAAAGATCCATTTGAAAGGCACACATTTCCTTGCACAGATATCTATATGGATGCATGTATGGAGATGTATATACACACATTATACACACATATATGTACATATATCTCCATATAGATTCAAATACTCTCACTTCTCTGTCTCTCTGTGTCTCTCTGTTTCTCTCTCTGGGTATATATGTGTGTTATGACATTTGTCAAATATTTAGGGAAAGATTTTAAAATCAATTAGGTCATATGACAATCTTTAAGCTTCTCTGTACTCCTCACTCACAATCCATCACTAGGGACATAAAAGGCAGTGTGGGCATCTCCTGCAATGCATTGAATGCATATGTAGATTAGCAAGATACCGATACTCGCGTCCACACACTCAGTGTTCCAAAGTGTTTATTTAATCTTTCACAGGAGACTATTAATGGAAATAAACGATGATCCAAGTCGAAAAGCCACTGACAGCCAACAATTAAGGCTGAAAATAGAAAGTAAACACCACACCATACACAATGCCTGCCTGCCATTCAACCCATACATACCCTTTAGATAAGCTAATATCTGCGAGAGACTACAAGGGAGGGCTTTAGACGTAGCAGTTCTAAATTTCTCCAAGATCCCCATGCAGAAATCCTGTTGGCATTGGATGATGGATACAAATGATTTAAAGATTAGGTATGATGTGTGTGTGTGTGTGTGTGTGTGTGTGTGTGTGTGTCTGTGTGTCTGTGTGTCTGTGTAAGTGTGTGAAAGAGG